CTGCTGGTGAAAAAATACTGTATTTAATGGATCTTTGTTTTGCTCTAGTTTAGCAAATCCTGAAGCTGAAAGCCACGTGTGTTCCTCAGCCTGGCCAAGGACAGATCAGATACTCCAGTTAATGGCTCCCAAACTCCCTTCCCTCTGTTTTTAGTACTTTCTTCTACCAAAGGACCACATGTCATCTGCTCAGATGAGATTGTTTCTCTCTCTCTCATTCATAGCTGTAATTTGCTGCCAAACATGTACTGATACAAGCAGGGCAAAGAATTATTCTTGCCTCTTTCAGTGTAGCAGAAATCTGGAGCTGATTCCTTTCTGGTTGGTGCTACAGTGTGATTCCATCTATTCGTTTATGAAAAGGATTGTATAGAGTGCTTGCTGTGATAGGAGGAGAGTGGATCCAGTGACCCAGAAGATCAATTCTAATCCTTTCTTCCTAGCTAGCTAAGGCACTTGTATCGTACCATCACCCCAGTGTCTGACCACTTCATAGAGCTTCTCTGTATGCTTGCAGCAGCCAGTCCCTGAGAGGACAGAACTGTATACATCTGTCCATGCCTGACTTGAACACCAGAACTGGAAGTTCATCAGTGAGGTGGCTCTATGCCACTGTCCACTCTGCCTCTCAGGCATTTAACTCCCTCCCTTTTTTCCCCTGCATATCACTCTTGGCTAATTTAGGGAGCCTTGTATTGAGCTGGTTTCCCATTCTTTAGTTGCTGAATTGTTACCATATATTTTGTGATGAATTTAGACACCTGCCAGGGGCTCAGGGTTACTTGGGGCTGTCAGGAGCCTAGGGGATAGTGTTGCAGTACTGAGCATGTTGGAGAAGCTAGCCATGAGTGAATCCCTCAAGGTCACAAAGGACAGTGAAGGCACAGTGGAGAATCAAACCAGTGTTTCCTAGGGGTTAAACTAGTGTCCCGAACACTGGATCATCTTTCTTTTTTGCCTCTCTACTTGTCCTAAGAGAGATCTTCACCTGATTCCTTCTAGCCAAATTGTCTGCTTGCTGGAATGGGAGTTGAAGAGATCTCTTTGGGGCCTCCTCACCACTCTGAAATAACAGAGGTTTTCTATCTGTCTTTGTTGCTGCTCTTACAAACTAGCAGCTGCAAGGGGTAATTGAAGGTATAGAATGCAGATCACTAAACAAATGAGACACACATGAAGCCACTGCAAAATCTAATTTAGAAAAGTGGGATCATATGCTGGCCCAACAGAATGCTGCCATTCAGCTCCTTCCTCATCCCAGCTGACGGAAATAAATAATCTACAGTTTAGACAGCCCCAGCAAATTCCAGCAGAATGAGACACTTGGTTTGGTAAGTTTTTGAAGCTGTTTGTTTCTGTAAAAGCCTATTTTGCTTGGATCTCTCTTCTTCTGTCATACCCTTCCCATTTTGCAGCATTCTACTGCGTTTGACCCTTAACACCAGCTTGAGCATCACCTTGCAGTCTAAAGCACTGAGGACAGCAAGAAAGAATTAGTGAGCTGTGCTTCTCCAGGATTAGCATGCAGCAGTTTATTTGTGCCAGCAGCATTATACCACAGCTCTTAGCCAGGGGGAGTTCATAAAATTTGACTCAACTTTCAGGCACAGGAGAAATTTGGCCACCATGTGCCTGGAAAACACACCACAGGGAATGATGATAAAGGGTATATCTCCACCTCAGTGTGCTGTGACTGCAGTGTGACAGTGTAGCCTGAGTGGACCTTACATGTGGGTGCTAGTGGCAGGGTGACTGCAGCAGCCTTGGAGCTCAGCTTGGGCTTGCCCCAGCTTCTCAGGCTCTGAGCTGTGCTGTGGCAAATAGACTGCTGTCCTTGAGCTAGCTATTTTAGTTTGGTTCTTCTGTTTCTTTTCTTGCCCTAAAGACAGCTGCGAAGTAGTGATATTCACATACTAGTTT